GGAGGCTCCGTCCAGCTGCGCGTCCCAGCTCGAACGCGTTCTGCCGGCAACTGAGCGATCACGCAAGAACAACAAGTTGCCCGCTCGAAGTTGCCCATGCTGAGCGTCGGTGCACCAGGGCGCCCCCCCGCGCACTGCTGTCAGCATCGTGGTGGGGGGGCCCCTGGATATCATCTAGCTGCGCCGCGCGTCTCCCAGGGCCCCCCCCCTTGGCCGGCGCCCCGTGCTGTCTGATATGGGTGGTCCATTATTATGTCGTGGCCTTTCTCGTGAGATCCCCCAACGCGTGATCTATGGCTATATCCAGCAAAGGAGCTGTGATGGCGACGTCCGCTGCGGCGCGCATATGTGGCAGAAACCATTGGACGCCCCCTTCGCGACGCCGGCCGCAGAAAATTGTTCACAAGGAAGACTTCAGGGCGCGTGATGCGATGGGGCAATGCCTCCGCCGCGATGCCTTCGTAATCGTTGGGCCTGAAAAATATCATACACGTTGGCATGCTGCGCCTGCGGCAGCGGGCCCTGCGCCTCGTAGGAGTTCTGCCAGGCCCGTTGAAGTAGGGGGGGTCTCTCGTGGGAGCTCGCAGTGGGTATCTTGAAGAACCTGTCGAGCCTCGCCCTCGGAAAAATGCCAGAAAACCCAAGCAGCCTCCCAGGTGGGCCCCCTGGTGCCTGCGGTGGCTAGGCATGCAGATCTCCATCTACCCAGGGCCTAGGCCCTCTCCGAGGGGGGAGGGGGGGGGGGGCGCGCGGGGGGATCAGGGGGGGGGGGGGGGGGGCAAAGCAAAGCAGACGGGGGGAAACGAAGCTTGTTGGGCGATCTTCGAAAACTTCTGGCCCCAGACTGCGCCCGGGGACCTCCGAAGCCCCCAGAGACCTCTTCTTACCTGGAGGGGGGGGGGAGGGGGGTGATGGGGAGAAGGCGGGGGCGGATGAGGAGGGAGGAGGAGGATTGGGCTGGGTTGGATTGAGTTGGATTGGACCCATCGCGAAGCGAGGTGGCATGACCAATGGCAGCCCGAGAGGGCTCGGGCTTGAGTCGACTACTTGGGCATTGAACCCAATGATTTCTGCCCGAGCAAGATTGCCTGGTTATGACTATCATGTCAGGTTTACAAGCTTGGGCCAACGTGGACCGAAACTGCTGGCCCGCATGAAGACCGCACGAACCGCGACGCCAGATCCGAAAGCGCGCGTGGTACAACATCGACTAGGACTCGTGAGTCCACCCGCTACCTATGCGAACCGTCGGCAGCCTCGAGAAATCCGAATCAGCCTGCGGGTCGAGCTGGGCGAAACTACTCCCCCCCCCCCCCCCCAGTCAGTCAGCGAGGCGAAGGCAGCGCTGCCGCGGCAAACGAGACAACTGCGCCCATCTTCAGAACGCGCATGCACGGGCCCGAAGAAGGCGAGGGAAGCAACCGAGGGCGGGGGAAGGCGCGACTTGCGGATGTGAGGCGACCGCTTCTCCGCCGCCACCGCGTCGAGGGTGGCCCAGAGCAGCCTTCTCCTGGCGAAGCGCGCCTTATGCCCGCCCTGCGCAGCGCGACTCCTATCAACTTCAATGACTTGGCATTCTTTGGCAGCAAGGCTGACTACTTCGTCGGCAGCCTCGTTCCCTTCGGCCATCCACATGGGCGCGTGAGTGGTGTCTAGCTCGGGCCCAGAGAAGTGCGACCTGACTTTCAGCGCCGCGGCCTGAGTGAAATCGCGGGACTGCTTCACACGAATGATCTCCTGCCATGGGTCAACACTTCCCCCCTCGGGGAAAAAAACAAAAGTTTCCTGTGCCAGCCGCCCATGACCCCTTGGTTACCAGTGACATACACAATAGAATCTGAACTGTAAGTGAGGGTGGCGAAAAATGCGGCCAGCTCCCCTCGCGGGGCAGACTGGCGCGGCACTGGGGCGGGGTGGGGGCGGGGTGGGGGGGGGGGGCTGCGCGCGGCGGCGGCCATCGCGAAGGGGTGGGGGGGGGGCGGGCGAGACAATCCCGATGCCTGCGCGGCGGAGGCGCTCGACCGTATAGTCCTCTCCCCCGCTCGCATCGCCGAACACGAAAAGAAGGTGGGGTTCCAGAAGCGGGCGCCCGGCTCATCTTGGGTCATGGCCTGAGGGATTAGCTCGCCGGGCGCGGCGCAAACCTCTGAACCACTATTGCACCTGCACGAAAAAACCAAAAGAAACGCTTTTCGGGCTCAGCCTGGCACCTGGGGCAGAGACTGTCGGCGCCCTGACTGACCTCGTCGCGGGCCCGCTACCTGGGCCGCGTGCCCCCGACAGCCGCGCCCATCGTCGTCTCTGCAGGTTGGCGCCCATGCTCTGCCTTCTCAAGGGCGAGCAGACACGCGCGATAATAACGATTGTCGACGCCTCCCTCGCGGCCCGACCCGCAACGATGCCTGGCGGCTTTCTGCCAGAACTGAAGCTGCACCGCTTGCTAACATTCAAGTAGCAGCGGCGCCGCGGAGCCCTGCGGGCAAGGCTGGTCGAAGAAGAAAGCCTCGCGGTCAGGATGGCCGCGCGCCGCGGTGCCCCGCTTGGCGGGGCTCGCTGGGCCCCAGCCGCGCGGCAACATGTGAAATGACCGCGCTGGTGGGCCCTCGGACGCGTCGGCCCCTATGCTGCGCGGGCATAACCTGCAGCTTGGAGACAACTTGGGCCGCGCAGCTCGGGCGCCCGCATGAGCACTTGGCGCTGTGACCCAAGTGCGCAGCCACGTCCGTAGGCATTCGACTGGAAGACGCACTCCAGGGTCTTCCCGCGGGCACCGAAGGTCAAGCACGGATGTCAGGCACCGTCCTCTCCCCGCGGATCTGGACACATGGGCCAGCGCCCTGCGCGCGGACAACGCGGCGGCTCCAGATGCACCGCGGGCGCGGCGCCCGTAGTGCCCCGCAGGCTGGGCCCCCGCCTTCTCGAAGCGCATCGCTGGCCCGCGCGGTCAAAAACCCGAACGAGGACGAGCGGTAAGGGCGCGAGACCCTTGGAAACCGAAGTTGGGATTGTTGGGGCGACGGACGAGGAAAACCCCATGGGCGCATGGGTGCCCTGACTCACCTCCCCCCCTACCAGATAAGCGCTGGCGCCTAGAGGAGCAGCGTCGCAAGGGCGCTAGGGGGCCCTGCCTGGCAAGCGCCCTTGGGGTGTGCGCGCCTACGAAAGGAAAAGCAGCCGAGAGCAACGACGCCGCGCCGAAGAACGGCCAAGGGCACCTTGCCTGACGCGCGCCCTCGGGCCAAGTCCGCGCGCGAACGGAGCGACGGCCGACGGCGAGGGCGACGCCCCAAAAAACAACCGCGCGAAATTCAGCGACGGACTTAAAACGAAAGCGACGCGCCGACGGACGGCCAAGGGCACCTGCCTGGCCGCGCCCCAAGACCCCGCCCTCGAAGAAACGCCCAGCCACATGGCCGAAGGTCGCCGCCCGCCCCAAGGGCGCCCTGACAAGCGGGCAAGCGAAAGAGCTCAAGGACGAGCCGCAAGAGCAAAGAAGGGCAAGGACGCAAGGGTACCCTGCACTAAATCGCGCGCTGGGTTTTTGACTGTAGCGCCGCGAGTGCAAGATGGGGGAACCAGAATCGATGCAACGTTGAGCAACGGCTCGGACCTGCGAGTGCAAGCCCAAGCGCTCCCCGAGGTCCTCGGCGATAATGGGCGGGGTATCCAGCGAGAAACTAGCCGAACGCATCGCTGCACCTCGCCGCTCGCCACGCCGAAAGGCTGCGACAAGAAAGATGCGGTGGGCGCCCTCCGAACGCCTGGCAGCGTAGAGGCCCGGTCGTCGAGCCACCCTGTTCTCTTCGTCGAGAGCCGATGTCCAAGCAAGTTTGGGGGGCGGCCCCAGGGCCCCAAAGCGGGCGCAGAGCGCTGGCGGTCCGCTACGACCTCCCACTGAGCTTTATCAGCCCCAAGCCGATATAGGCGGTCGATGTGCTTTCGGATGGTGCCCCTAAGAGCCCCGGCTCCTGACAGTGCCCAAACCAGACTGAGCGCATTCGAGGTCAACATCCCAGCCAGGCGGCTCGGGCGCGGGACCGACGACGCAATCGACAGGGATGGGGGGGGCTTTCCAAACCCCGAAGCTTGCAGCTGACCAACCTGACGAAAACATACGAGGCGAACTGGCTAATGCGGCTTAGCCCCCGCCCCCAAACATGCCGAGGTACTCTGGATGGCCTCAGACAGGCCGAGGGAAACCAGGAAGTAGTCCTGCTTGCAAGCTCCCTGTGCAGAAGTGCCCGCGCACGTGCCGGCAGCATCTGGGTAGACTAGGCTAGCAGGCAGGGCATTGAAAAGCTCCGGCGGTGCCAGCTCTTCGGGCTCCATCTGAAAATCGGCGCCGAGAACGCGCGAACGGCGAGGCGAAATTAAGGCGCCTGTTGAGGACAGAACGTCCAAGAGGCCTTCCGAGTCAGAATTCCAAGCCCCCTGGAACCTGAACAACCGCAGCAGCAACTCTGTGCGGGACCACGCGCGGGCCGTTCGCGACATCGCGCAAGCCGAGGAACTCTCTTGCCAGGACCGCAACACCACCAGAAGAGGCCTGACCCTCTCCCCCGGAGGAGGGGAGAAATCGTGATTTCCAGCTCGATCTAGTAGCCCGCTGCGAAGCCTCGCCCACCTGGGCATCGCTGACCAGGTGAGTCTCCTGAGCCAAAACAACGTGTGCAGCAGTCCTGGATATCCGGGTCTTCGCATTAATTACCCCAGCCCGTGCAATTTGCGGCTTCTAAAACAAGCAAAATTCAAAACTGCCCGAGCAAGCCAGGGCCCTGAGACCTGCGCAACGATCCAGGGGAGGGACCCTTGGAGGCGGGGGGTAGGCTAGCGAGCCTTGAGATAGCACGTGGAAGCCCCACACCAAACGCTATTGCAGGAAACCTCCCCCTTCGCCGCCGCCGGCCCCGCGCAGGCCTAAGCTGGGGGCAAGGGGAGGTCCCGGGGCCGCCCGCGTTGGCAGCAGGTGCCGCGAGGACGGCGCGGGCCCGCCCGCGAACGTCAGCGGCAGGGGCGCCAAACTCAGCGGCAGCATCAGCAAATGCTTGCCCCTGTTGGTCGCCATCAGCTCCGCCACTTCCGTGTCCAAGCCCACCCTCAGCGCCTGCAGCTTCTCGAACTGGCGATCCTGAGGCGGCGCCCGGGGGCTCGCCGTCTGCGCCTCCGACCTTGCGCTTCTTGGCGGGGCGCTTGGCGCGAGCTGCGCGGTCAGACTTGATCTCGTCGATGGAGGCCGCCATGCTGGAGAGAAGGTCCTTCGCGAGGGCGGCCAGTCCAGCCTGGAGCTGAGCGCGGCGCTCGTCGAATTCCTCGCGACCCTTGGGTGGCAATCCATAGCCAGCGTCGTCCGGGGCGAGGAGCTCTCGTAGTCGGCGACGGCGATAGCGTCGGGCTTTCCCTCCACCACATCGCGAATGCTAATGCCAGCGCGCGCGACAGGAGGAGGAGCAGCAGGCTCGGGCTGAATGACAGCCTTGTGGAGGTGGGAGACCAGGTCTTTGTGAACTTGGTCTTGCTGGTTGGGCTCGGCCTGGGCGTCGGCCGCGGCCGTGGTGCAATGCTCGCGCCACTTCCGAGCCTTCACCAGGTTGTCGAGCTCTCGGTTGAGGCGTCGCTCCAGGATGCGGCCCTGCTGCAGCGCCCCGTTAGCCTGACGCTCAAGAGGCTTCTCCACGGGGCCCTTGACAGCATCAACCTTCTGCTTCCTCCAGACCGGGTACTGCGACTTAGCGCTCTCGTCACCGAACTTAGTGGCCATGGCCAGCAACGAGTCGATATCCCCGATCGGAATGTCAGGCGGCATGAAGCTGGGGAGCTGGCGCCGCCCGAGAAGGCGAGAGCCTTGCCTCCTCCTCGTTGCCAGATCTTCTTGCTGCCGTCGCCCGCGGCGCCGTCGCCGCCGTGCTCCACGACAACATCAAAGCGTGGGCGGCGGCAGTCTTTGCACCAGGTGAACCCGCTAAGGTTCTTGGCGCAGCCACAGTCCGCATGAGAGCACTTCCACCTGGGGCCAGCTCCGCCTGCATCGCGGTGCTGTCCTTCTTGCGACACAAAGACCACAAAGCTGCCACATGCCATGACTTCGTCGTGCTCTGAGTGTCGAGACCGAAAGGGCAACCGAGCAACTCTGGCTCGCGTTAGCCCACCGTTCTGAATCGCTGGTGGACGCAAGCGCAAAACGCTTGTGCCAGAACGGCTAGGGGCTAGGAGGAGGAGGAGGAGGAGGAGGAGGAGGAGGAGGAGGAGGAGGAGGAGGAGGAGGAGGAGGAGGAGGAGGAGGGGGAGGAGCGGAGGAGGAGGAGGAGCAGAGGGGAGGAGGAGGAGGAGGAGGAGGAGGAGGAGGAGGACGGAGGAGGAGGAGGAGGAAGAGGAGCAGGAGGAGGAAAAACAGGAGCAGGAGGAGGAGCAGGAGCAGGAGGAGGAGGAGGAGGAGCAGGAGAAGGGGGGGAGGGAGGGAGGGAGGGAGGGAGGCAATCAGGAGTGGAAGGGGACAAGAGGGGGGCGACAAGGGGAGGGAGGAGGGAGAGGAGGGGAGGAGGGCGACGAGGGGGAAGGACGGGGATTTCGCAGATGTTTGTTTGACCCACGTGGAGCCAGCCTCGGGGCGGCGGCGGCGGGCCAGCCTCGCGGTCCCCCCCGCCGCGCGGAGGGGTAATTGCCGCGAGGTTGGGGGGGCGGCGGGGGCCCTGATCCTGAGCGAACGTGGACAATTGGAGGAGGGTGGATGGTGACAGTACGCTGTTTGGACGCCTGCGGGGGCCGAGGCGGTGGAGGAAGGATGCGGAGAACGCCTCCCCGAAGGCCTCCAGAACAACGAAGGGGCCTCCAAAAGGAGGCCCCTTCGTTGAAAGAGGGGTAGCTGGAGGAGGGGCAGCTGGAGGCCGAGGCCCTCTGGAGGAGTAGCTGGGGTAGCTGGAGGAAGGATGAGAAGAACGCCTGCCCATTCTCCTCTCTCCAGCTACCTGAGACGGAGCCAGGACGAGAAAGGCATCGGGTGAGGATAAATCGAGAATATCTGAAACCCCGCGGCTCTGGAGGATGTCTCGGGCGCCGCGGCCTTCTCGGGGCGGCGTTCCGGAACGGTCTGGAAGCGTGCCAGAACGCTCTGGAATTCGCAGAAGGCATCTATACACCACCACCGTGCCAAGGCAGGGCCATCCTGGGCCCCGGGATGGTGTATACGCCCTCCTGGCCGAGGCCAAGAGGGTCTATACACCATCCTGGGGCCCAGGATGGCCCTGGCCTGGCACGGTGGTGGTGTATAGATGCCTTCGTCGGATGGAACGGATTTATCCTCGTCCCAGCCCCGTCCTACCTTCTCCTCCCTCCAGCTTCCCCTCCTATTGCTCTGCCCCCCTGCTCAGGAAAAACGTCGGCAGGAATCCGGCAATGGGTGGCGACGAGGGCGCCCAGGGAGGCCCAGCAGGGGCAAACCTTCGAATCCTGGACCTCGCCATCGCTCGGACGTCCATTCCCTGTGTTTTTTTTCGGTTTCGTGCGTGGTTATTTCGCCAAATGATCAAGGATGCTCCTCGATGGCCCTCGCCGAGAGAAAATTGCACACGTCCGAGCGATGCCAAGGGAAAATAACAAGAAATTGCACATAACTCTCGGAGATCAAGGAGTTGTATGTTTGTACAGCTTTCACTGCGCCGACCTTGCAGACGTGCTGCAGCGGATTTTCGCATGCATATCTGCCAATGCAAGGCCAAAACAAATCCGCACGAATTCCACTTCGGAATTCCGCCGACCCCTTGGGGATCATCGGCGTGTGAGATGCTTCCCCCTCCCCAAACCCCTCCCCGGGGAGCCCGGTCCGGTCGATTTGGAAGGGGGGGGGGGTCCGGGACGAGCGGTTCACGGGGCTTTTCCGGGCCCAAGAGGGCCTCAAGACGGGCCAAGAAGCCCCCAAGAGGCCTCCAAGACGGCCCACGAAGGCCCCGAGACGCCAAACGACCGCTCCAAGACGCCCAAGATGGCCCCAAGACGGGCCAAGAGGTCTCCAAGACGGCCCCCGAGGTCCCAAACAAGCCTCCCAAGAGGACCCCAAGAGTCTAAAATTGTTGATTTTCCATAGTGTTTTTTCGATGTTTTTTGCTTTTCCGCCTTTTCGGCTTCCCGACGCTCCAAGACGGCCAAAGAGGCCCCCAAGAAAGCCCCAAGATGGCCCAAGAGGCCCCCAAGACGGCCTCCAGACGGCCCAAGACGGCCCCAACACGGCCCAAGAGGTCCCCAAGACGGCCCAAGAGGGCTCCAAGACGGCACCAAGAGGGGCCCAAGAGGGCGACCAAACATGTTGAAACTCTAGCTTTCTGCCCCCAGGAGCCCCAGGGGGCCCCAAGAGTGCCCCAAGAGGCCCCCAGAGGCCCTCACGAGGCCGCCCAGACGCCCCAAGGAACCCCCAAGAAGCACCCCAGAGGCTCCGAAACGGCCCCCAAGTGGCTCCAAAACTCGCTTTTCACCCCTTCGCAGCTTCTACTACCCCCAGATTGGCATAAACAAGGGGTCGGCGGTGTGGCGTAAGCCTAAGAATCTCCAGAACAATCCAAACCCATCTTATTATTTTCCAAATGAAATCCGCTCTGCGATGTTGGCGTCATGACAGCTTCTACGTCCCCGCTTGAAGCTGGATCGTCGTCGTCATCCTCCTCCTCCTCGTGGCGAGGTCGCGCCGGCGACCTGCCATAGCGAGTCCTTGAGCCTGGCCTGGAAGGCCATGCACTGGTCCATCTCCCCAGCCGGGCGGTTCGGATTGAGGGGACTTGGGCGCAAGGCGCTCGACGGAAAGGGGGCCCTGACACTATCATCGTGCGCCCTCATTTTCCCTCCCCCATTCCAGTCCATCTCTCCATCCCCATCACTCCCTCATTTCCTTCTCTCCCACCCTCGCTCCCTCCCCTCTCTCGCTGCGCTCTCCTCTCTGCCATCGTCGCTTCCCTCACGTCTATCTCTCACTGTCTTACGTTTCCTTGTCTCTCTGTTTATATGTATATGTCTCTCTCTCTCTCTCTCTCTCTTTCTCTGTACATGTTTTCCCTCTCTCTTTCTCTTTCGCTTTGTATGCGTCTCGTTTTGTCCTCTCTCTCTCTCTCTTTCTCTGTGTATCTCTCTCTCTCTCTCTCTCGCTCGCTCTATTTCTCTCCCCATGCCTCTCCTTCCCTCCCTCCCTGCTACCGCCCTCTTCTCTCTCCGCCACCTTCCGTCCCTCTCTCCCTCCCCTCTCTCCCTCCCCCCCGGCTTACGGAGGAGGACGAAGGCGGGACAGCAAGCAGCAGCAGGGGGAGAGGCCAGTCCGTCCTCGCCTTCACAGCTCTTGAACAAACTGTAGCCTCCAGGGGTCAAGGAAGGCCTCCTGTTGAGACCGGTCCTGGGGACAGGGGGGAGGAGGAGGAGGAGGAGGAGGAGGAGGAGGAGGAGGAGGAGGAGGAGGAGGAGGAGGAGGAGGAGGAGGATACGACGCTATAGGGAAATGTCGCGCGGAGCACCGACATACACCTTAAAGCGGGGGGGGCAAGCGGCCTCCCCCCAGTCATCCAAAGGGACGCTTCCCGCCCACCGAGGGGATCACGGCGAGAAGCGACGGACGACGACGGCGGCGGCGGCGGCGGCGTGGGCGGTCCTGGCTGTAGTCGCCGTGCACCAGGCGCGCGCACGCGCGCGCACGAGGGGCGCGCGCGCGCGCCTCTCTCGGACGACGACGACGGACCACCCAGCCACTCCACCAGACAAAAACTAAACGAGTTTAAAAGGGCACCAGGACCGATCCAGGAGCCACGGCCAGAGTCCAGGAGATTTGGGACGGGCCGAAGAAAAGAAAACAACTCAATGCCCAAGGAGACGCAGCCAGGAGGTTTCAGCATCGTCAACCCTAAGGGGCCTTGGTTGGGGAATGCGCCGTGAGTTATCACGGCCCTCATCGGCAGGATGGTACCTGTCGAGAAACAAACGTCGATTCCGCTGGGCTCTCTCACTCATGACAGGTGGCGGTGAGCAATCCAGCAGAAGGTGACTGGCCACCCCCGAGCTATAAAACCCGCAACGAATGCATCAGACAATGTGGCCTTCTGAGACCCAACATCTATGACCGCGGGCAGCCTCTGGTGGCACGATACCCCTCAACGGAAGAACCGAAGCTGGGACAGTAGTCTGCGAAAGCGACGGGCGACCCCTAGGCTGGAGGCGCTGCCGCTTTGAGTGAGGCATATCAGGCACAAAGGCAGGTCCTTCCCTATCAGGGAGTCTCAGACGACTCGGACGACTCACGACAAGAGGGCGAGAGTCGGGCGAGGGGGAGGACCGATCAATGGATTGGACCGCCTGTGCCAACTCAGCCGCATCGACAGTGCGACTCAATACGACAGGGTCGAAGCTCACCCTAGCCCGCACGGAACGTTCTGGCGGCGAGGCAGACCGTCTCCGAGGGAGGTCATCACGCAGCAGCCTCTGCCGCGAACGCGCAGGGCAAACCCAATTGGAGAAACGCTGCACCGTCTCCTCAGATCGGGCCCCCTTCTTACAAAAATCACACCGCCAAAACTTATCCCGAACCGGCGTAAAAAACGTGTTTCAGGTGAGCTTCAGGCGCCCTGGAAGCTTTGGCTTTAGACCGAACTTTCATCTTCCGAGGGCGCCGAAAAGTGTCCACGCGTCCATGTGACAAATGAGACGCATGAGCCTGCAAAAGCCATTTGAGCACACCCCTTACAGACCTGAGGGCAATCCTCATGGAGGTGAATGCAGCCTTGTTAGCTGAGTGGAGGTCCCGCCCGCGGCAGGCGGCGAAATCGGCCCATCTGTTGGACCGTGCCTCCACGGAGTCACCAGACTGGTGGCCCCTGACATGCGAAACTTGAATGGCCTCTCCAAGGCCGCCGAGGTCATCAAGCTTTCTCCAGATGGCCTCCCAGAGGTCAGTATTTGGTCGCCTGGGGCCACAGCAGAAACCAGGGCCCATGTCTAGGCCCTCAACAAGGCCATAAAAATCGGTATGCACATGTATGGGTAAAATGCATACAACTAGAACTTGCAAAAAGGCATATAACTCAGACCTGGGTGAACTCTGAATGGGTCCAGGAAGAGCACCGTATACAAGAAGCTGGATATCACGCATACTGTACTTCACGAACCCCCATCCCGCTCTCGTAGCCTCAGGCCAGGCCAGTGCCATGCTTTTCTGCACGCACCGTCCGTGTAGATGTCCCCCGTGACATTGTCAAGGGACCCGTATTGAATGTGCCAGCGTCCACTATCATCTCGTGGAGGCACTGGCGGAAAACATGACCGAGGTGCCATGCCTCTTGTCCAGAACCAGGAGCCAGACGAGCGTGGCGGAAGGCCCCGACAATCAACACTACGCATTGCAGCACGCTGCTGTGCTGCACGTCCGTCACACTCCCAAGGAATATGATATGAGGCGCACACTTCACAATCACACGCAGGGCAACAAGATGTGCGAGCGTATCCATGCCGATAAAGTCGATGCGGGGACCAAAGTCCCCCTCCCACCAAGGCCCTCAAGAGCCCATCCTCAGACACAGTAAGCTTCCAAGGGCCTTCAGGGTCAGGTTCAGGGTCCTCATCGGGGTCATGTGGACGATCCTTCAAGAGTCCCAGGATGGGCTCCAACCGATATCCGAGGGGCTCCTTGGGGTCCATATTATCATCAGCAGGGTTTGACCTTTTACTCCATGCTTCCCATAATCGGCGGACGGCAGCAGCACGAGCGAGGTCGCGCACCGTCACAGGTGCATCTGTCAAAAGATCCAAACAATCTCCAACATCCGTAACGATACTAGAGGCTGAGGTCGTCCTCCAGCCAAGAGCCTGCACCGCCAAGAGCATCGCACCTGCTGGCCCAGCGACGTTAGCCCAAGGCTTCGCCGCTTGGAGGACACGAAAGACCTGACGCGACCAAGCCTTCTGCAGGGTGCTGCGTTGAACACCACGATCCCGAAACAATAAAGCCCACTGATAAACTGGTTGAACCCAGCAGGCAACTTGGGGGTCCTCATACATAGAGCCCTGGAGGCACGATGTTAGCCACGCAGATGTAGTAGAACCTGGAGTGTACCAAGTGCCCCGCATAACCCCCCTCATGGCCTCGACGAGCTGCGGCGGAGCCCCATGGACCCCGACTCCATACTGCATGGCCGACGGAAGGGCCTGCTTAGCGAAACGAGCGGCCAGGGACCCAGCTTTTTGAATCCGTCGAAGCCGAGGTTGACGCTTACGAGCGTTGTGAATGCGTTCTCGAAGCCTACGATGCCGAATAGGCCGGCCTGCATTTACCTCGATCCCCAGAACTTCAAGAGCGGACTGATAGCGAAACCCGCGCCGTGCCAAACGCTTGGCAATCTTCATGCCAATGGCGGGAGAACTGCACGTGAGCGTCATCTTGTGGCGCGCAGGCGGCAGACCAACGGCGTGCAGCATGTCCACAAGGATGGTGAGGAGGGAGCAAGCAGCATCAACAATTGCATAAGCAGTACCAACGATGGCAATCGTGATATCGTCGGCGTAAATGTCGATCGACCTGTCGATGTGCTGGGTGTGCCCAAACAATGAATCAAAAGGTGTAAGCATCACACATTGCAAACAAAACATCGCCAGAGGACACCCAGGCAATATTCCCCGCGTGGCCCATACAGGGGCCGAAAAACACGCATCCCATGAGAGGCGACGAGCGGACGCACACATGCGCACAGCAAGCACCATGAGGGCAGGAGGAAAGCCATGCTGCACCGCCGATCCAAGTAGCCGTCTCCACGGCACACGGTCAAAGCACTTTTCGATATCTATAATCGCATGCACCGTGATGGGGGAGTCCGCCACCTCAATAGAGGTAGATTCAGCTTGGACCAACAATCTTGCGGCAACGTCCGTCGTGCTCTTCTGGGCCCCGAGCGCCAGGAAGCCCCGATTCAAAGAGCTAGCCCAAGACCGAACCCAATTGAGACGCGCCTTGCCCCAGATGCGATATATAGACGGTAGTAATGCTATTGGACGATATCCCCCAGACGGCTTAATCAGGAGGACGATGTGCACATTCTTGATTAGGGCAGGCCACTGGCCCCACGATTCACAAAGGTGGAATAAATAGCCCAAAACTGCCAAAGCGCCATTCGACGCAAGTGACCAATGCCGAGGTCGAAAAACATCAGCACCTACCGCTGTCCCACCTGAGAACTGTTTGGCAGCTCGACGAAGTTCACCGATCCTCAAAGGCGGCAATCGAGGGCCCTTCGCAAGCAGCTCCTGCAAATCCCCAAGGTGATCATCGCCTGAACTGTCCTGAACACTAGCCGCACAATGGTCAGGCTCATGATCAACTCCAGCCCAGATCGATCCCCAAGAGGCCCTCTGGGCCGTGGCAATATCATCAGGAAAGCTGCTAGGGCCTAACTCGGTGTCGACTTCAGCGAGCTGCCAACCGCGCGGCTTGGTCCAGCGGTGAACGGGACCTGACTTGCCGCGCAACGCCTTCTTCAGCCAGGACGAAAAAGCCTTAGATCTGGCCGACCCAAGTCTGCGCTCTTCCGCCTCAGCAGCCCGACCGCAGAAGTCACCAAGGAACTGCAGCATGTTGCAATAATACACAGGTGGCTGTGCCGATATACACGTGATGATGTGCACAAGGTCGTTCACAAGGTACTTAGGCATCGACATGCGAAGTCTACCATCCTTCCCATGCCCACCCATAAAATCGACTAAGTGCGCCCAAATACGTGTGC